CGGCTATGGGTGCCCCACCTTAACCAGCGACAGGGCTTCGGTCTCAGCCGGCCACAGCCCCGAGCCGCCCGTCAGTAGCCCGGCTTTCACCAGGTCAGCCCTGGGACTGCTGCCCTGGGCCCAGGGGCGATGCTTCTGCCAAGGTCTGCAGAGTGTGTTGTGGAGACTGGCACTTTATTCAATCACAAAAAGGCAGTTTCACCCCTGGGACTCCCATCGGGCTCTTCATAAAGAAACACCCAGTGTGGCTCCGCGTGTGGTCCACGGACCACCTGCGTGGGCCTCACATGCTCGTGAAAAATGAATGCCCCGAGTCCAGCCCTGATCTTCCCATTCCAGATCTCTGTGGGTGGGTCACAGGAGTGCACAGGAGTGTACCGCACCCACTGTTGCCGGGGGTGTTTAATAAATTGCTGCAGATTAAATGAGGAGGAGGGTGTGGACACCTGGACATCCTTCTCCTCCTGTGTTCCTCTTAGACACCTCGTTGTCCTCACCAGCTGAGGTCAAGGTCGGTTAAAGGAAAGTTGGAGCAGCCGTAATAATATCAGACAAAACAGACATTAAGATAATATATATCACAGATTTAAATACGGTCCCTACACTATAGTAAAAGGTTCCATTTACTACATAGATTTAAAAGTTCTAGATTTGCCCATACATGCATCCAATAAAATCACCTCACCTATATAACTTCTAAAATCTGCTGGGAATATAGAGAGAAACTGACAAGCCCACCAACATAATGGCAAATTTTTTTGATATTCTAATGACTCTTGATAGACCTACCAGATGGAAAGTTGATAAAAATCTAGAATATTTTAACATCACTGACAAACTTCAAATATTGGACATCCATAAAACCCCATACCAAATAAAGATTGCACATCCATCTCAAACACACATAAAATGTTTATAAAAACTGACTGCTTAGAAGGCCAAAAAGCAGATTTTAATAAAATTCAAAGAAGCAGTATCATACAGACCATACTTTCTGACCACACTCAGGTTAAATCAGAAGTCAACAAGTAAAAGATAAAAAACGTCAACACACATTTGAAAATTTAAAACAAGCCTCTAACTAAATCATGGGCCAACGAGGTAATAATAATAGAAACTAACAATCCAGAGGAAGGCATAATAATTAAAATCTGCATTTCAAAACCAGCCGGTTGCAGTCAAAAAAAATACACAGAAGCAAATCCATAGTTTTAAACACGGAGAGCAGAAAGAAGAAAGGCTGGGGATAACTGAACCGAGTGTCCTTCTGAACTTGGAGAAAGCACACCAGAGTCAATCCAAAAACTAGAACAAAGAGGAGAGATTAGTGAGATGGAAAGTGAATAATGCCCCAGTCGGTTCTTTGAAGTAATGGTAAAACAGATGTTCTCCTTGTGAGGTTGATTCAGAAAAAAAAAAAAACAAAACAGGGAAGGCATCAATAACCGTAGAAAATTTTTTAAAAAATTACAAAAGTGACGGTCTTTGTAAAGTGTCCAGAGCAACTTGGAGATTCCGTCCAAGTCAAACTTGCTGAGCTGCTCTCTCCAGGACCCACGCAGCACACTCCATGCTTAACCAACAGTGAGGGCAGGGTGCTGGTGGCGCTGACGTGCATGGGCTGGCCCACCCCGCTGGCCTGCCTTTTGTTGTGGATCGGATGTGGGAGAAGCAAAGCAGAGATTGTGAAGCACGCAGACGGCCCCAGACCTGGGAGCAGCCTCTGCTGTCTTCAACGGAGCAGCCAGTCCCTCAAATGGGTGTTCCTTGGACTGGGGAGAAAAATGGGTGGTTGGGGGTGGGGGTGGAATAAGGAGTCGGCCCATTTCTAAAGGTGCTCTGCAGCCCAGTTCCTACTGAGAAACCAGAGAGAGCTCTGCCCCCACCCCGCCCCAATCCATGACATACAAGCATTTGAAAACCCTAACATCAGTTTCAAAGACTCAGCCCCGGGCAGTGACGTGAAACCCTTGGGCGGCAGGCAGGGCTCAGACTCTGCAGCCAGTTGCATCATGCTCTTCTGCCCGCGTCTGACAGCCAGATAAGGATGAGATGCAGGCAGAGGCAAATCTGCACGGAGAAGTCAAACGTAAATGGAAAATCAGGGCCCTGCCTTGAGGAGCAGAAACAAGTGGGGGAGCCGGCCTGAACCGGCCAGGCGTTTGGCATTGACTTCTGCCTTCACTCCTCCGTGCTGCTTTTGCTTTGCAAGATGAAAAGAGGGTGGGTGAGGTTTAAGTGCCCGTTTTGCAACGTTCCTATCAAGAGGAGAGAGAGAGCCCGTTCCAGGAAATGAAGGCACAGCCTCCCATCTGCTGGTCTGGGAGACTGTCTTCCTGACACCGTGAAATGAAACTAAATGGCAGAGCGGCCAGAGGCGCACAAGAGTAACAAAGTGAGGAGGAACATGAGGTTTGGGGAGATCCCTGCCGGCTCCGCACTGGGAGGGTCTGGGTTTCCCGTGCCTGAACTTGTTCCAAGGACTTGGAGCTTGGTGCGGGAGCCCCGGTGTCTGAGCCCCTCCCGGCTGCAGATGGGTCTGGGTCTCCAGCACGTCCTGCCCCGCCTCCTGCCTCAGTGCCTCCTCTGGAGTCCAGGACAAGGCTGTGTCCCCCACCACGTCCGAGGGTGAAATATAATAGCCACATGAACTGGACATTCTGGACTCCGGTTGCCTTCCCACATCATAAACCACCTCCGCTCTGTGATTAATATGTTCGACTTCAAGTCTCTAAGAACACACCGGGTGCATGGTGTTAGCCCAAGATAGAACCGAAGTTCCTTTAATCATCCTGACAGAATGTGAGAGACCATATTCTAAACCAAAGACAGTGAAATACTCGCCGTGCAGAGCTCCCAGAGAGCATGAGTTGCTCGGGACGGTTGAGCTTCCTGAGGAGACGCGTGCTTCCTCTTAATCAAAACATGAAAAACAAACAAACCAAAAGAAGCAAACAACTTGGGATTTTTTTTTTTAAAGTCTCTCTCATACACTTCAAAAACCTGCCGGTGGCCTTCGGGAGCGCCTTCTGCTGCCGTTTGACTTTGCCGTGAAGGTTTTTATCATTCCTCTGAGTGCTGAGCGCGACCCCTGACAACACCAATGGCATCTGCAGCAACGTGAGGGGCCCGGTCCCACCCGTAATCCCACGTGAGCGGGCTGAGCCTGGGTGGGATGATTCCCACAAGCCATCTGGCTCTCTGGAGACAGTGCCGGGACCCCAGTTTCCTGGCCTTCCACCTTCCGCACTCCCTGTTCAGAGCCATCGACTTTCAAAAAACCACCCAGCCCTCCTGGAAACAGCCCCAGACTGCCGGCTGTTTCTGACGTACCTGTCTGGGACTCACTCACAGACTTTGTGTTTCCCTTCTCTGAGGCTCAAAAGTCACGTCTGTTCACAGAAGCACCCCTCGAGGGTGTGTGTGTGCCTTTTGCTCTTAAGCTTCATTTTCTTTGTTTGAAGTTTAAACGACTTCAAAAGTCAGGCGTCTACTCTCCAAGCTAGGTGTTCTGGTTTGCCCAGGACGTAAAGGTGCAGCGCTGTGCTCAATGAAATAGATGCCACTACCTAACAGAGCATTTGGAAGGAAGTACCAGCCGTAAGGCAGGCTCCTGCCCAAGCCCACACCTTATCCGTTTTATCCATTTTGCCTGTGAAATCTGCAGTAGTGAGACTATGACAGTTCGTACAGCTGTGCCCAGCACTATCAGCAGGGTTAGTGCAAACTGAAGCACCCCAAACCCATCCACGGTCAGGCCACACTGCCTGGCCGGCTGCTCCGAGGTTTACCCCTAGAACCCTGCACCCACACACAGTGTGTGAGCACACCCACACATGGCAGTGTGGACCAGGCACAACCTCAAAGACCCACAGTCCCAACCCCAGAGAGAGGAAGTCGGCAGACCAGAGGACACCACTGCCAGAGGCAGGAGAGGCCCTGCCGAACCCCGTTCCCCCATTATTCAAGTAGGTGCGTTAAAAAACGTTAATGTCCACATATAAAGGCAAATGTCTACTCTCCCAATTTGCCTGTGCACACTCAATCACTTTAAATTGATCTGTGATTACAGACAGAGTTCAATAAAACAGCTCATCTCCCCACCCTGGCTCTGTGGAGGCTGACCTGAGGTCCAGAACTCGGGAAGATGAACATATGAACTGCCCCTGAGGCTGGGGCAGAAGCAGCCCTTCCTCCCAGAGTGAGGGGCCACCGACCCCCAATGCACTGCCTGCCCAAACATACCCAAGAAAATGTGGGGCTGCCCCCACCTGGGCCCCAGCAGCCAACGCTGGTAAGTGGGGAGGGGTCCACTTTATGAGGCTGGTAGCCTCTCCTGTTGCATTCCAGTGATTTACCAGTGGGGAGAAAATTAAAACTTTATTTAAAACGCCAGCTTCCCCAACTTCTCTCAATTGTTGCTCTTTGCCCCAAAGCAGTTTTACCAAAATCATTTCCTTGGATAGCCTCGACCTCTGTCCCCATGCATTTCAGATGATAATTCTGGCAGCTGGAGAAAGCTGTGCTGCCTTCAAACGCTGGCTTCTCCTTTCCTTTGCTCCCTGTGAGCCAGGGGGGCCCTGCTCCATGTCGCTGGCCCGCCAGCCCAGGACACTGTGGGTCTTACTGACAGCAGACCCCTGATTCCCACTCAGTGCGCACACAGGTCTGAGATCACGGACGTAGCACCGGATGCTTCCATTCCGGGGGAGGCGGGTGCGAAGCATCTCAGGGCTCCTCTGAGTTTCCTTCACACCGGAATCCACAGTTTCTCTGCGTCAACCCACTAGCGGAGGGAAATCAAACTGAAGGCATTTCCCAGGCATTTACGACACAGCCCTTGCAAGAGTGGAATGACCCAGGTCGGTCCCCACAGGTAAGCAACAGGTCCCAGCGCACACGGACTTTCCCTAGTTGGCCGGCTGTCACAGTGCCGGTGTCTGCGTGGGCGGGGAACGTGGGCCGGGGCGCCGTATCCCCCGCGGGTCGGGCACCCTTACCTCGCTGATGACGGTGGAGTGGGCCTGGGCGTAGCGCCAGCCGCCCCTGCACGGCACCAGCGGCGCCGAGCGGTTGGGGAAGGCGGCGAGCGGGTCCGCGCAACTGAGCGCGGTGGCATTGGCCGCCTCCAGGAGGAAGCGCTGGCAGTGCCCGTGGCCCCAGAGCTCGGGCGCCGTGCGGTTCCACTCCTCCTCGGGGCTCCAGCCGCAGCGCTCGGCCAGGGCAGCGGCGCTCGGCCCGCGGCACCAGTAGTGGTCGGGCCGGCTGCCCAGGAAGACCACGGCGACGAAGAGGAAGGCGAAGGTGACACCCGTCAGGCACAGCAGCAGGAACACGCGCCACTGGAAGCGCCCGTACTCGCCGGCCCTCTGCAGCGCCTCGTCGAAGGAGGGCATGGTGCGCGCCGCCCGCCGCCCAGGCTGGAGTGACCCGAGGGCCCCGCCGGCCGCCGGCTTTACCCCGCCGCCTCCCCCGCGCTCCCGCCTCACGCCCCTGGGCGCCGCGCCAGCGGCCGCGGTCCCTCAGGCCCCCGAGCCCGCACCTCTCGCCGTCCTCCCGGGGGTGCCTGCTGCGGCGCGGGCCGTGCTCCCCGGGGGCGCCGCCGCGGAGTCCCAGCGGGGTGGGGGGCGCGGAGGGGCCCGGGAGGCGCGGCCTGGCTGAGCGCCACCGCGCGCGAGGGACCCAGCCCGAGACTGCGACTGCGAGTGACGGGCACAGCCTCCGGCTTGGCAAGGAGCTCCATTCGGTCCCTGCCAGCAGCCTGCTCTGCAGTCGCACTGTGTTCGGCGCCAGAAGAGGAAAGTTTCAGAGTCACCCGACTACTCCCAGGCTCCTCGGACTTGGCCTCCCGGCTGTTCCCAGTGCATCCGAGAGAACTAACGACGCGCGCCCCTAGCCAGCGACTGTGCCCCGGACACCCCTCCAGCCTGGGTCGCCTTCGGGCACAGAGGCCGCTAGGGGCGCCCCTGGGCCCGGCAGCCATTCCTAGAACAGGGAACCGATTGCACAGCTCGACCCTGTGGGATTAGATTTTGGCCACGTCTCAGAGATTGTCCAACTTTTCCAAAAGGGCAGCTGGGCAACCCACAGAGGCTGAGCGTCTTGTTCAGAGGCCTGAAGTTCGAAGTGTGACAGATTTCCTTAGCCAGGGACTTCCGACCTCCTCTCGGCCTGAAATTGCCTGGAAATGGTGTTGTATCTTGGCCCGAATAGTTATAATTTCTTTGTTGGTTCCCAGAGGGCCTCGGATCTACTCCTTCCTGGGTAGGTTACCACTACGTGCAGGCTGCGGCCCTCTCAGGGCGGTGACGGCCTTGTATCCGCTGGAGAGGAGCCTCTTACCCGAGCAGGTGTCCTCTGAGAATGTCCTGAGCCCTTCTCCCCAGCCCCCCACCCTGTCCTCAGAAAAAGCCTTCCACCCTGGCTCACTTCCCTCCGAGGCTGAGAGGCTAATAGAGCCCAGACTTACCGCACCTCCCACCAGAGCAAGGACCCCGGGCTGCCTCAATTCAAGCGGGCTTCGTCCCCTTAGCAGCTTGTGGCCTTGAACAGCTTAGTCCACCCGGGTTCCTGGTCTGTCAAATGAGGCTCCTGCCCTCCTGGGGCCACTGTGAGGACTGAGTGAACTGACAGACACAAGAGCCCAGCTAACCCTGGCACACGCACCCTTCCTGGGTTAGCTGTTGTTACTGTGCGTGCTTGTGGCTGAGCTGGCACTGTGCACTCTGCAGATTGTCCCCAGGATCGCAGACGTCCCAGGACAAGCCCCTGGAGAATGCGGGCAGCAGGGGGGCCTCACCCAAAGGGCACTTCTGTCATTCTCTCATTCCTCCGGAGCACCTCCGTCATCTGGGTACCAGTGACTTCTCTGTCTACACGTCTCCTGCTCCAGCGTCTAGTCCATATGTCCAACGGCTGCCTGAGTCTCAGACTCCAGCTGTCCTCCTCACACCCGGTGCCTCCTCCTGGCCCCCCTTCGGTGTCACCATGGCCCAGCCCCACCCCCAGAGTCTCAGTATCATCTCAGCCCCCCTCCCTCCTCGGGCCTCCCTTGCCCTTCAGCCCCACCCCACCCCCCGACGTACACTGGCGACCCTGCCTCACTCCCTGCTCTGCCTTGTCTGTCTCCAAAGTGCTTAGCACCATCTAACAGAAGCATATTTTTATTTCTTTGCTTCTAATCTATTTTTGCCTATTTATTTATTTAATCTACTTCCTTCCAGTAGGAGGTAAGTTTCTCAAGGGCAGAGAGCTCAATCTGTTTTGCTCATTTTGATGTCGTCATCACCTAAAACAGGGCCTGGGTCACCGTAGGTGCTGGGTGGATGTGTGCAGAATAAACAGATGCTTCTCAACAGCTCCCCACCCCCCGCACCCCGAATATGCACAAGGGTACCGCCTCCTGCCTTACCCACCAGCGCTGCTCAGCCTCAGGAGCCCCGGGGGTTCCCTGCCCACAGCACTGGCCTGCGGCCCTGCCCCCTCCGTCTTCCCACGGAGCAGCTTGGAGCTGCAACCACCCAGGGCTTGTCCTGCTCTCCAATTCACTTTTCATTTCCCACACTCTCTTTCAAGAACAAAATCTGTGTCCCTCACCAGCTCGTTCCTTCCTGGGACTGCCAAACAGAACTTCTTGGTCATCCTCACATCCTTCCAGAATGTTCCTAAATCTGTGACTATACAAGCCAAGTTCCCTCTTTCCCATTTCACTCTCCCGCCCCACCCTGCCCACTGCCCAGGAGGGCCTGGGATGAATGTCGACACCCCCACTCCCAGCTTGTGCCCCCCATAACTGCCTTCCTGCCCCAGCAATGCTGCCTTCCTCTAGGCCCTAATACGTCTAAGAACCTGCTTACGGAGTTGAATTACCTTTCTCTTTGTATTACAGTTGTCAGGGCATTTTCATTTGGATCACCTTTGTTTAAAGAAGAAAGATGAGCATACAGACAAGACGCCCTTTGGAGCCAGAACTAGGGGGTTCAAATCAAATCTCCTTTTGCTCCTTACAGGGCGTGACCTTGGACAAATTATTTAGTCTTTTTATGTAAAACTGAGTAATAATGCACCTTTTCATTGTTCACGCAAGTCTCTTAGAACATGCTAAGGGACACCTAATGGTCAGCTACTAATGAAAAGAGCAAAAAAATACCACCCAGCCCTGGAATGACGTCATGTTTGTTTCAGACAGGTTGTTATAAGAACTAACAACTGGCAGCCACAGGCAAGTCCTTTGTGTGCCTTCAGGTCCTTTCCCCCACCCGCTCTCGTCTTCCTCAAGGCTGCCACCAGGCGTCCCTTCTTCGGAAGGTGCCCTGGGAAGAGGGCTGAGGACCACTGGGCAGGCATCCTGCGGTCCCAGCTCCCAGAGAGTGGCCAAGGGGCAGGGGGCAAGAGGAGGGATAGGTTTAAGGGGTATGACCCTTAGCCCTTGGGGGAAGGCAGCAGAGAAGTCTGGAGGGGACCCCTGAAAACACAGGACCTCCTTTGCTGCGGTGTAGCTGTTACAAAGCTGTTATTCGTGTTTTAGTCCACAAGGAGTGCATACAGATAAGACTGTACTTAGGGCCCTTTAAATTTATATAAATGGTACCAAACTGCATATTTTTCTGTCACTTCTTTTTCCCTCCACAGTATATTTCCGAGAGCTGTCAGCCTTGGTAAAATATGGACCCAGCTCATTTACTCTGCTTTTCTATAGTGTCTCCATCCCTCCACCAAGGGCCGGCGAGCTCATTTCTAATTTTTCGCGATTACGAACAATACTGCAGTGAACCTTGGCACTTGGGCAGGAATTAGTCTAAAGTGAAAGTCTAGAAGCAGACTAGCAGGACGGTAGGTGGCGCACAGTGGGAGCTTTGCTGGTGCTACCAGGCTGCTTTCGGAGGGGCAGCCCCGATTTGCCCCCGTCAGCAGCAGGCGGGACTGTCCGCCTCCGGGCCACGTCTCTGGTTCGTCGGGGTCCGCAGCAGTCACTCCGGGGCATGCGACTCCATGCGGTGGTTGAAACGTCCCTGGTGTAGTCAGATGGGACACTTTTTACCTGTTAGTCATCACTCAGGCTTCGTCCTCTGCGAGTCACCTCTTTGCATCCTCTGCTCTGCTCTCCTTGTTCCTTATTTTTTCTCGAGTGTTGGGGGAGTCGTTTGTGTATTTGTGTGTTCTGCTTCTCTATCGGCCATACATGCCCCATTGCCACAGTGTGTGGCTTGTCTTGTCACTGTTTACCGTGTCTTGGTGACTACGGAAAGTTCAAATTCTCATGCAGTAAAATGTACCCGTTTTCTTTATCGCTCCTGCTGTTTGCATCCTGCTGGAAAAGTCCTGGGTGAACGTGTCTCTGGGCTCTTCAGTTCGGCCCGTCCGTCTGTCCGCCTCGGTGCCACTGGTTCACTAGTAGTTACGACCCTTCTACAGTCTCAACATGGACCAGGACGGTCCCACCTCCTCGTCCTCGCCCCTGGCACCTCTCCAGAATTATCTTGGCTCTTTGGAGGCTTTTTTCTTCCATGTACATTTGATATTTTATCAATTTCCATAGAAACCTGGCCTGGGTTTCTATTGGACATTGTGCATTTTATTTCTCCCCTTACTTTGGAGGTATTTTGAGAGAAGAGTCAAATCATATTCACCTTTTCCTTTACATACCAAGATAAAATGTAAAGATTACTGTCAGCCAGGTCATTTGAGTGCAGTTCATGGATATATTAACGCGGGTTTTTCTAATGCGGGTGGTAGAATGCTGAAAGATGAAATATGCAGTTTTGTGAGATGCTAAAGCTACATCTTAAATGTGAGAAGGTGGGAGTGATCTGAAAAATCCAAAACAAAACCTTTTAAAGCGTGGCCCAAAGGAACAGGCGAAGGAGAACGGGCAGACCCACCAGGAAACGCCAATGTACTCGGAGGTGTTGTACGGCTGCTGTGGGAACACGGATGCGCCTGTTCTAATCTTTTCCGTCTTTTCATTGAATTAGTTGTGGCCTGGGTGATTTTGCCATTGACCTTAGTGCGGCGGCTGGAAGGCTTGTCTGAGACGCCAGCACAGACCCCGCTGGGAGAGAAGTTCAGGAGATGGCAGAGAGGAGACATTTGTGGGGATGGAACCGATCTGAGTGGCAGGACAAAGAGAGGGAAGCAAATCTCTGACTTGTTCTTGTGTTAAGATGTCGTATCCATTGTTGCAAGCAGAGAGCATAGCCATGTGTGTTCTCTCGAGATAGCCAATTGCTAACAGCTACGTCTGCTTCTGTATTTGCTTGCTTGCTTGCTTGCTCACCCCAGTAAAAATCCTAGGCTGTAAGCGCCAGGCACAACTGTCATTTGCAGCCTTCTTGGCACCGTGTCTCCAGACACCTCAAGAGTTCATTCACCCCTGCGCAAGTAAAGCTTTGGCCAATAAAGTTCCATCTTAAACTCCTGAAAGTTTCCGACCATTTGTTGCTCGCGTTGGTGGATGCCACAGTAGACTCTAGAATCTAGAGTCTAAATTCTAATTCCAACTTCACCG